CGCTCGGGTTTAATGCTGAATAAGCTGAAACAGAAAATTATTTATTTTAATTATGATAAAGTTTCAGTCTATTATTGTGAACTTTCGTTCGTTTTTTCTTGATTAAGATCGTGGTATTGACATTAGAATTTATCTCCACTACTTTATATGGACCGTTCCAAACAGACAATAGTTTTTTGCTCTTTCCTTTGACACTTGATTCATTTTTGAGTAAAACTAAATCACCAATTTGAAAATTAACAGAATTTACATTATTATCATAATATTCTTTTGATCTTTCTTTGCTTTTTATAAGATTATTGCGAGCGATTTCATGAGAATGCTGAAGTCGAGACTTCAATTCACTATCGTAGTCCTCATAGTTATAAGATAGTTCAGGCGGTTTTTTCAAAGTTGATGGAATTTCTACACAATGCCCATAAAGTAATTCAAAAGGCGTGTAATTAGTGGCACTATTTACTGATGAATTAAAAACAAACTGCGCATAGGGCAACCATGTATCCCAAGAATTTTGATCTTTATCTATATATGTTCTTAAATATTCAGTAAGAGTTTTGTGTGACCTCTCTAGTGCTCCATTCGTTTGAGGTCTGAAGGCACATGTTTGAATTTTGTGTATTTTCAAAAGTTTGCACACATTTTTGAAAAGTTCGCTCAAGAAATTTTGACCTTGATCAGTGAGAACTGATTCTGGAATTCCGTGCCGACATACAATGTTCGTAACAAAATGTTCAGCTATAGTATTAGCTTCTTGATTTTCTAAAGGAATTAATTCACAAAATTTCGTCAGTTCATCTTGGAAAGTAAGAATATATGTGTTATGATTATTTGTTACTGGCAATGGACCAACAATATCTAAACTCACCTTTTCGAAGGGTTTTTTCGCTGTAGTAGTAATAGTCATAGGCATTTTCGTGTATTTTGAGGATTTATTTCGTTGACAAAATTCACACTTTATTATATAATCGTGTATGTCCTTATACATTCCGGACCATTTATATTTGCTTCTGATTTTTTTGAAAGATCGATTAACCCCTAAGTGTCCTCCTAGTGGGCTATCATGAAATTCCTTAAGAATTTGTTGTTTTTCCTTTTCAGATGTGATTTTTATAGTGTTACTATGGAAAAGTATTATTTTGATTTCAAGATTTTTGAAAATATATCGCATCATTGTTCTGATATTTTCAATTTTTAAGCTTTTGAAGGGAATGTTCCTTGTGAAATTCATCATTGATAGATTAGAAAAACTATTAAGTATCGCAAATTCCTTCAATAATTGAAGTGCGTTGAAAATGTTTTCATAACTGACCTTTTTGTCATGTTTATGAGTAGGTAAAAATAAAATGTTATCTTCCTTGAAGAATTGAATACCGAGTTCAGTTAGAGTTTCAGATTTCAGTTTTTTTATTATAGTCTCTTGAACTGACTCATGGACTGTTGTTATATCGGTGCTAATGAAATGTACATGTAAAGACGCAGGGTCGGATTCGGATATATTTTTATGACTGTCAATTATATTTGGATTCATTATTACATGATTCTCTTTTTCTTTTATGAATTTTTCGTATTCCGAACAAGAATTTATGACATTGATGTGGTTTGTTCTACTCAGAGCGTCTGCATTCGAATTTTGAGAACCTGACTTGTGTCTTATTTCGAATTGAAATTCCTCTAATTTCAACCGAAATTTCATGAGACGACTACCTGGATCTTTTATTGAAAACATCCACAATAAAGGCTTATGATCGGTACAGATAATGAACTTTCGACCATATAAGTACGGTCTAAAATGTTTACAACTCCATACAATTGCGAGCAATTCCTTCTCGATAGTACTGTAGTTCTTTTCGGCTTTGTTCAAGGTACGAGAAGCGTATGCCACAGGAAGATCCTTACCAATCTCTCCTTGTGACAGGACTGCTCCTAATGCGGTGTTACTCGCATCGGTAGTCAAGATGAATTGATTTGTGAAGATAGGAAATTGTAAAATTGGAGGATAACATAATTTTTCTTTGAGTGTTTCAAATGATTCAATACAGGAAGGTGTAAAATCGAAAGGAGTATCTTTTTTCAGGAGATTATTTAAAGGATTTGTGATTTTCGCAAAATTTTGGATATGGCGTCTATAATATCCGGCCAATCCCAGGAATGATTTGATTTCAGTCACGTTTTTAGGTACAGGAAAATCTTTCACTGCTTTTATTTTCGCAGGATCAGGACTTATACCGTTTTCAGTAATTATATGACCTAAATAACTCAATTCTGGTCTTAAAAATTCGCATTTTTCAGGCTGTAATTTGAGATTATAAGTTTTCAATCGATCGAATATTTCTACCAATTTTTCGTTATGTTCCTTAAGTGTTTTGGCATAAATGATGACATCATCTAGATAAACGAAACATTTTATGCCTTGTAGTCCAGAAAGAACGTTATTCATCATTTTCATGAATGTACTTGGTGCTCCTTTGAGTCCAAAGGGCAAACGGTTAAATTCATAATGACCATATGGAACACTGAAGGCTGTTTTGTGTTTGTCGTCAGGATTCATCAAGACTTGATGATATCCGGATGCCAAATCTAATGAACTAAAGAATTTTGAATTCCCTAATTGATCTAATATTTCGGTAATATTTGGTAAATAATAAACTTCGTCTAATGTTTTTTCGTTGAGCTTCCTGAAATCAACAACGATTCGCCATTTTTTGTTTCCGTTTGAATCAGATTTTTTAGGCACAACCAAAAGAGGAGAATTATAAGGAGATTTCGAATCTGAGATGATTCCATCTTTAAGCATTTGATCAACTTGATTTCGAATTTCTTCATGTTGCTGAAAAGGTAGTCTGTAAGGCTTTATATTTACTGGAATATCATTGACTGTAGGTATAGAATGTTTTATTGCATCTGTATAGGTTAATGATTCACCCTGTAAGTGAAATATATCATGAAAAGATTTACAGATTTCAAGAATACTTTCTTTTTCGTCTGGTTGCATATGAGACATGCGTAAGGATTCTGTCAATTTTTTTAGACGTTCAAGATTACATATAGGTTTATCAATACTGAGGACTTCATATTCATCTATGTTTTCAAAAGAAAGAGAAGGATTATCTATAATTACATCATTTTCATTTGTGTTTATGAAAGCTATGTTACAATATCCGTTAGTTGGTTTAACTATACAGTTTCCAACAAAAACTCCGTCTAGAATTTCTGATGACATGCATATAGAATCGGTTTCATGAGTTATTTGTATTCTACGTATAACTTCGCTTCTTGCTGGCACTATAATTTTGTTAGGAATTGCATTCTGCTGATGCGTTTTTATGAATTCGAAGGAAAATGTTTTATTCTCATGTATGAAAGATAAGAGTTTATTCTCGTAATCAATTTGCGCTTTATGTTTCATAAGAATATCTTTACCAAGGATTCCATCTTGTGGAATAGGAAAATCGTCATTTACAATATGTACAGGATGTTTGAAAACATATTCACCTAACTGAATTTCGCCGTAGCAAATACCATATGTAGGAATAAGGGAATCAGAAATACCTTTTAAGAAAGATTTATGTTCGGTATAACATATTGCATCACTTTTTGTACAAGATTTTTTTCAAAAGACTGATAGAACTTCCAGTGTCTAGTAAAAGATTAGCTACATTATTTTTCGCTAATAGTAAAGGAATGAGTACACTTTCGGATTCTTCAGTATTACAAGGATCTAAGCAAAATATTTCATTTTCATAAGAATAGGATTCGAGACTTGTAGTAGTAGTAGGAGTAGGAATGTGTAAAGGACTACAAGTATTATTTAAAGGACGGCAGTTCAAAGATCGCTTACCCGACGTGCACTGCCTGTCTCTGCAGTCGGAGTTTGGGAGTTTCCCGAACTCGAATAGGAGTTGTTCGATTGATATTGATCAACCTTTTTCTTCTTGAAACAATCACGTATATGGTGACCATGCTTTTTGCAATAAGCACATATTATTTTAGTGACATTTACTTCGGATTTTATTTCTCTTTTTGGAAACGATGGAAATGGCTGCGTAGAAGAAGAGGGTTTATTTTTAAAGAAACATTCTGTCTCTGAATGACCATTTCGATGACAAAAGTTGCATTTTTTGAATGATCTAGGTCTAGAAAAATTATATTTCTGTTGTACATCACAGCTTCGTTCTTCCTCTACAGCTACTTCGATTGCTTCCGAAAGTTTATCAAAACGAGATGCTTTTATGATAAGTTTAATATTTGGATGAAGTCCGTCTACGAAAGATTTGAAAGCTGTTCGAGAGTTCAAGTTATTTATTGTATCTGCTGCATCGTTGCCTTCTGCTTGAATGCATGCATCGTTGAGATCACTCAGTAGGTGCTCAACTCTATTACCAAAATTTCGTGCAGATTCACCATGCTTTTGCTTGATACGTAGCATTTCACCTTGTAGTTGTGCGATGCTTCGTGTCTCTAAAAATTGATCTTGAAGATCTACTTTAAGCTCATTCCAATTTTCATAAACTTTATGTTTGACAACATTATAAGCGGCCCCAGTTAATCTGGATTTTATTATATTAACAAGCATACTCGCATCTGCGGGTTGAGATAAATCTGTACTCACTACATCACAACAAGAAATAAAACGATGAAATTCTGTTCTGTCACCTCTAAATTCAGGAATAATTTTCAATGCAGTATCAATGTTCAATTTTGGCATGTTTTCCGTATTTCCGCCTTCTGGGTTAACTTCTGCTGTATTTTGATCAGGCATAGATTTGTTCAAAGTTACTAATGAAATATTTCGTTACATATGAGGAAACATTGAATATTCAGTGCACAAATGAGATGATCAAATCGTAATATGTGTGTAATTGAGATGTTTCGAAAGAAAGAAAAAAAAATGAAAAAAATGCAAAAGGAAATGAAATTTGGAATTCAAAAGATTATATGCTGCCAATGGTGGACACCACCATCCAGAACGACTTCCACTGTAGAGATGCTGAATAACTTACTTGCTGAATCTTGAATCTTGTTCTCTGCTGCTCACCGGCTTCAGGAATACAGGAATACTTCAGGTTTCTTGTTGACCATGAAATACCTTCGTTGAGTTGCTTGAATTGCTCTTGTTCCGGCTGTCCAATGACTTGCGTTGTTTCTGGCCTCTGGCTATCTTGTATGATTCGAAATGGTATGCTAGCATCCAACTGTAGGTATGCAGATGTTGCAAATACCTTCAGCTATAACTTCTTATGCACCACTGGATCACAGGATAACTTTCTGCTTGCCAAAAACAGGAACAAAGATCTTTCAGGAACTGATGGGCTGATTTTTCGACCACTTTCACACCTGACACCAAATTTATGTTGGGGAATACCAAATTTAGTGTACTTCGGTACCCCAATTTAATAAGAAAAAGTCGAAGTCCTTTCGCGACTCAATATATTCAGATTCAGCAATCGAGTTACAGACAATAAGTACAGCGGTTGAAGTTCTGATGGAGAATTGTCCTCGATTAGAGGGATTCAATGGTTTTTATAAACGACACATCACGTGACTTAGGCAACGCCATAAAGTAAGATAGAAATATCAAAAAAATAGGACAACAATAGTTTGTGGAAATGCATACAATACCCAAGGCACATGAGGTGTCAGCATTTTGTAATATGTTTATTATAACACGAGGTAACTAGAACAATGTTTCATGCGATGTGAATAAAATATGATATACAGTGTGATACAATAATATATAACATAAGTAATAGGTAATCATAGTTATAGCACTTTACAACAAACGAATCTATTTGAAATTCATTGTGGTCCTGTCGTCTCTGCATTGTATCTTGTTCATATGCTGGAGCGAATTTTATTTGGTAGGTTCCAACAGTTAAATCTTTCAATTACTCTAATGTGAGTCTCTGAAAATGCTCAACATCGTTTGCGTTAATAGGAGCCCAAATAGCATTCCTCCGTCTCCAATTTTCTGCTTCAACTCTAATTTGCAAATCGTTATGCCTTTGTGCCCTCTCTAACATTTCATTCGCAAGTTCTATATTAGCATCAGGCATTACAATTGTTTGGTGATACCAGTTGATCATCGCTCTCGCAATTCTATAAAAATCTCCTAAATGAGCCGCATGAATAATAGAGATAGTTTCCGAAAAATATTTGAACAAGGATTTGATATGTTCGTTCCGTGCTTCCACAATCCATCTTGTTTTGGTAATGAGACGGGTTTCATTTGCTTCCTCTGTAGTGAACTGTTTCTGACCTCGTGGCAAAATACTGGACATTCTATGGTCTATGCCCAATTCTCGGAGGAGAGGAATGACATCTTTATATCCCCGGTCTACAATAATAATGTCTCCTTCTTCAAACCACCCTCTAATACCGTTGATATTCATTTCCAATTCTCTATTCAAAATAGCAGAGTCATTGTTACGACTATCGGAGAAATATGGACCTTGAGTATCTAATATGTATCCATCAGGAGCTACAATTAATATAGGTTTGATCAAATGTCTTCTTTTATGGATACAGTAGAACTTTCGCAACACTCTGAAGTTACTGCTTTTCTCAATTGGGCAGTAAGTCCCATCAAAATAAGCAAAGGCTTTTGGTTCATCAGGATTGGGGTTGTTTAACTGTGTTGCGAATTCTGTGGAATGTCTTTCGATGTATTCTTGTCTCCCGATAGCACCAAATCCAATATTTTGCGGTATGAAATTATTTACAAGCGACTGTCTAACTGTAGAAACGGCTAGACTGGTCTGTTGTCGGCTTTTGTAATCGAATATAACACTCAGGAAATCATCTGATAAACCGTGCCTCATTTTGCATAGGTAAGTCAGTAAATTCTTTTTGGATATAAACCTGAAAATGATGAAAAACTTGAGCTCAAAATAAGTTCTTCCTTTATTTCAGTTGTATGGGCGTAGTCAGGTTTCAGTATTGGGGGGGGGTTAAAAAATTAAAATAACAAAAAAGTGCAACATTAGTATTCATGTGGAAAAATGCAAACGTAGGTATATTATAAAATTATTCTCCTGTTTTTATTTTTAAATACATCTACCACTTCATCCGCATCTATTTCTGTTCCATAATGTATATTCATAAGAGCCAAACCGTTCAATCTGTTTTCACTGGTTGTGTTACGTAAATAGTTTTTCAGTCTTCTCAGGCTTGAAAAAGTCCTTTCTGGAGTAGCAGTGGAAACAGGTATGGTGGCCAAAATTTGTAACAATGTGTTAATGTTCAGATATAGTTTTCGGTCGCACTTATCTAGGCATTCCAAAGCAGATTTTGGAGTAGGGAAGGTGCTTGTCATCACTGCTTTCCACACATCTAGTTCTGCTTTGACTACAGATGTACTTCTTTCGGGAAGCACTGACGAGTACATACAAATTGCCTCTTCAATTCCAGAATTGGCTGCGAAATTTAGAGGTAACACACAAGATAGTGCCGTCACTACTTTACGGTGCTTCGTGAACCTTTCATTCAATTGTTGAATTGTGTGATCAAGGAATGGAATGAATAAATTCATTTTGTAATACGAGCATATATCCGATGCAGGAATGTTTGAGCGGTTCACTTGCCTTCAAACTATGCGTGGCATCTGCAGTATACCACCATTTTGTTCAAGCAAAACCTTTGCTTCTTCATAGAGATGTGGATTGGTATTGGTATTGGTAGGTTGGATGGTGACAGATGCGCTGCGACCTAATTAGATCTATTGTGCCCCATCTGCTTCTGCTATAACAAGGGTTTCCTGTTCATAGCAGCCCCTCGAGATTCAATTCCTTTAGGAATTTGAGGATTTTGAGGGGGTCTAGCCGTGGTATTTCTTCCACAGTCAGCTGGTGTGTTCCCAGTATGTTCAATCTTTTGTGATGTACAGCGTCACACTCCATCAGTATGTGATGGGGTGTTTCTGGTTCTTCCTCACAGAGTCTACAGGTGCCGTCCTCCTATAAGCCTAGCTTCCTCAGGTGTTCTTTGAGTCTGCAATGCCCCGTTAGAAATCCCGTTATTGCTTTGAGACTTCCTTTGCTGAGGTTTGTCAGTGTCTTAGATCTCAGAGATGTGGATACTCGTCATCAGCTTTATTTCTCAGAAGTTGCAAGGTATCAACAAAATCATCTACGTGGCTGAATGCTGTAATCAGGTCGGTGTTAGTTGCTTGCAGCTGTTTCGATAGCGACAATGTATAGCTCATGACTTTCTCAAGAATCACTAAGGACATCACAAAATTCGAGGATCGAAGTGTGTTAAGTATTTGGACGGCTTGTTGCGATGTTTCCTTATTATGGCTAGATTGGAGTTCTTCGAGAGCATTCACAATCGCTGAATAAATTTCTTTGAATCTCATGACAGCGTCATGCTTGTTGACCCATCGTGTTTCGCACATTGCAAGCAGGGTTTTTTTGGTGATCGGCGGGTAACAACTCTCGAATTTTGTTTTTCATAACAACAGTGCCTTGAGCAGAATGTCTGAAATACGAACCGACAGAATGCACAATCCCAACACAATTTCGAATATCTGCTCGTGAACATGAATCAGCAATAGCAAGGTTGAGAGAGTGTGCACTACAGTGTACATAAAGAGCAAGACCACATTCTTGGCGTACATATGCCTGGGCACCGTGTAAATACCCACTCATGGCTGCAGCCCCGTCGTAACCTTGACCAACCACATGAGAACATTTAAGTCCATGTTTTTTCAGAGCTGTAATAATGAGATTTGCTAGACCGGATCCTGTGACGTCAACAGTTGGAATGTACTCGATAAACATCTCCTTAACTTTGTGATGTTTATCATCATTTGAATCAACATATCGCAAGCACAGCGAGACTTGCTCCACTCGCGCGATGTCAGTCGTTTCGTCAGCGAGAATAGCAAATAACTTGGCTCTCTTTACTTCTTCGATTATCTTATGTTGAATTATTTCACCAGAAATGTCTATTATTTCGTTTTGGATCTGAGGGCTTGTGTAAAGAGCATTCTTCTAAGGAGTGGTCAAATGCTCAGAAAGATCTTTATCCCCAGACTCAGCCCCGTACCGCAACAGTGCCCGAAAATTACCATCATTTTGCAGTGGTTGTTCAGGTTCTGGTATAATGTTAATCCGCCCCCAATCGCTTCTACCTCTTAATGAGATACCTTGTTTTCCGCAAAAAATTATTCCTTTTACAGTAGGGATAAATTTCTTTCGGTTTTCTTGTTCCTGCCTCTTTCTCTCAGAAGACAACTGCTCAGTAACTGAGAAAGCCTGCGAAGACATTACTCTGAGGAAGTAATCTGCAAGTTCCAAATTTCGCTTGTGATATCCTGTCTTTGCATGAGATTCAAATATTTCTGGTGCATTTTTCCACTTGCGAAATGGTTCGGTTACGAGCTGGCCAATTCGCTGATGACCGCCTTTACCTTCATCAAGCTAACGTCCCATCACGACGCAAATTCTGCAGAATGCCCCACTTTTGTATTCAGGATATGACAGCAATGGGAATCTTTCCGTCCATTCCAGTTGAAAGCGCAAATTTCGTTTCGTGGACATGGGAAACTTATAATCTTTGGACGGGGTCCATGGCATTTTCAAAATTTGGGCTTTTAAATATTCATCCACAATTTCATCCTGATTCGAGTAAAAACCAACGTCCAATTCAGCTACAGGATGAAAAGATGAGGTAACAGGCAAGCCGGTCGGTTCCAGGCTAAATGTAGGCTCGGTGGTCGTAGCCATGAAACAGGGCGCCGGAGCCACTGAATCGATTTCGTCGTTCGATACTGTAACCACGGTCGAAGGCTCGCTTATCTTCACAGTCTCATTGCCAGCAGCAAGCAAGCTTGTTGTAGGTTCTGTGGCCAACTGCGCTTCTCCACTAGAAACCGTTTGACTACACCACTTTTTCCAGTAGTCCATACCCTTGAGCTTATCGCCTTTTCTTTTCTGTTCCTCCATTTCTCCAATATGTGACACTCGTACCCTAGAAAAAGATAATACAAATAAACAAGACAAGAGGTGAAAACATCAGAATTCAATCATTAATTAAATGCAATTCATATTGTTGAATCACAATTCACCTACTTGTTATAAGACCAGTAAATCACTTGAACTGAAATCTCAACCAGAGCCAGTACATAGTGCAATATCACACAAATGACAAATAACTTCGTCCACAATGCAGTTTACACTGTATAAATTCACTCGGCAATCTGATCTCGATAGCTGGTCCGAACCGACTGAACGCATGGGTTGCATGTGTGGTGCGGGGTACGTACAGCATGAAAACGAATGCTACCGAACGAATACGATGATGCGGGCGGTGTCATTGGATATTCGGCGGCGGGTGGTAGCGTGGCAACTTCAAAATATTAATAAATAATGGCTGTGGAACAACAAGTGATGAAATTTCAATGCAAATATATATATGTCATTTTTAATTTTTCGGGAGGGGGGTTTGAACCCTTAACCCCCCCCCTCCCCTGGCTACGCCCACTGGCATTTTCATCAACTCATCCACATTACACCATGAATGATAATCAATTAATTGATATTGAAAAGCCATTTCCCATTCAATAACCAGTCATTGAACTATATAGACAATAATTATTCGAAACCTCTCCAATCAACATAAATCCGCCAAAGATGTTTGGATGATATTCGAAAATTGGCTAATTGAAATATTACCTATACCTAGTCAAATTGTTCAACATAATTTTGATCTTATAAAAACATAATCATTTAGGTACTTACCTGGACTAAACATTCTGTTCATCGCCGTATTCTCTCGCTACACCGATCTCCTGTACACAAATACTTGTTTCAAATCATCTGAATATAACCATTTCAGCAATATGTCTCTATAGTGCTCGATATTATCGATTTATTTTTCAAAAGTTATAAAATTAATACGTCACCCCAGCAGAATGATACAGGTACTAAATATTTTTTGTTAGTTCACCCAGTTCGAGATATCAATAATAATACCGCTGGAATGTATTTTCACCAAGCTATTCAATGAGGTATCACAAGTTGGGGCTACCATTGAGATGATATGCGTTTGGGTGGTTGTGACTCAGGGGCTAGGTGGGGGTGGGTTATTTCATGAGACATTTCATTTTCCATTTCATATATTATAGGAACCATTCGTGATATGTATCTCATTTTGAACATGAGTTAAATCAATTCTATAAGCCTATGTATGGCCAATTGGACATGGTATCAGAGGTAATCATATGAATCCTCATGTTGATGATCAAGACCCATACTGTGTCAAATAATTGGTCGATTCTAGCCGTTTGTTTTCAAGTTTTCGGTGACTGAGTAAAAATCAAAATTCTGATGGTTTCAATATTTGTCTTTCCCCAAGAATATTACCTTGTCATGATGGAATGCAATACTCTGTATGTAATATTATCATCTAACCGAATAGAGGGATTCATGAGGTAGATATTAGACCTGAAGAGTTCATTTCTACTGAAGATTAATCACGACTCAAAGCACATAATTCAAATTGATGCAAAATATTCTGAACAGCCAAAATCTAATGTTTGACACTCTGTAGCTCGAAAACTGGTCATAGGATCGATCTGAAATTGGACTGTGTAATAAGGACGATAATATCTTGAACATATCAAATTTGCGGGGTCCTTTCTTTTGAGAGTCTACAATTGTTAAAATCAGGTTATACTTCTTATTATTAAATTCTACTTCTACCTCCAGATCGCCGATAGCATTGATTTCATATCCTGATACACCACTAAAATTATAATTTACAGATTTAAATGTTAAATCATACATTTTCTGAAAATTGTATACATCAATCACTGACCTGCAAGCTCCATTATCAATTTCGAATTTTACTGATTTACCATTTACTTTCAATAGTGGATATTCTGGTTCATCTGATCTACCTGAGCTCATTTTATGTAAATAGAGCAGATCCATATTTAATTCTTCACAATCACATAGGGACTGGCACTCTGAATCACTTGAATCACTGTCTTCTTGATGTAAGACCTTCACATTTCCTTTCATTGGACACATTTCTTTTGAGTGTCCCCTTCTGGAACATTTCCATTTGGCAGCCGGACACTTAGCATCTTGGTCATGGATTCTACCACAATTTTTGCACTTATTTTCTTTGCTACCTGTAGATTTATCTGTGGCTGAACTGGTTGACCTCTTGGCATTTTTATATCTGTTATGCTGAACATAATGAACTGCGTTGTTACTACTACCACTGGTTGGTGTTCTCACCTGCTTGTCTGCTAGCTCTGAAGCTTTTGCAATTTTACAAGCCCCTGCAAAGTCTAGGGTATTTTCAGAGAGCAGCTTTTTCTGAATATGTTCAGACTGAATTCCTACCACAAACCGATCTCTCAGTGCCTCATGCAGAAATGTATCAAAATTACAAGTTCTAGACAGTTTCTTCAACTCAATAATGTAGTCAGCAAGAGTCTGGTCTTCTCTTTGTGAGCATTTGTTGAAAATGAATCTCTCATATATAACCGACACAGTGAGAGCAAAATGCTTCTTCAACACTTCAGTCACTTCTTTAAATGTCAAATCCTGGGGTTTCTTAGGAGCAGCTAAGTTCTTGAGGTTTATATACACATTTGATCCCACCAATGTTATAAACATTGATACTTTCATATCGTCGGTGACCTTATTGACTTTGAATAAATGATCTACTCTTTCCAGGTAGCTTTCGACACTTCAATGCTACCAATAAGAGCCATTTTATTCACTCGCCTTGGGCGTTCACCTGACTGCAACCCCCGACTCGACGTGCTTTGTTTCCTTTCTTGAGTCCCTCTTTCCTTCAATTACTTGAGAAGCATCCTCATCGCCAATGTTGTGGTCGACAATGAAACACAAAGGTTCTTTAATTAAACTATAATTGAATAGGTTTCTGAAGAACAAGTACATGTAACAGCAACCGCCAAAAACCCTCGTTTCTAGGTTAAGTGTCCCTCCTATCCCCGGCCTCCAGTGTTACCAATCTCTACTGATGAAAGTCACCAGATGTCAGTTGTCACCGAATACAATCATCAAGCCAAATACACAACAAATATTTATTCCAAATTACTTCTAGTATTATAACCTCAAATGGGCGTGTACACCTTGGTAGAACTTTTAACTCAAACCATGTTTATAATGATCCTTTCATACATAAATAATGATTGACGACATAATTCGATCGAAAAATTTACTGGAATGTTCAATTTTTGGACATATATAATAGTACCATCTGAAAACGGACCCTCTTATGACGTAGAAACCTCATCTCGCCATAGTTAAAAGAAAATACCAAACGCCGGACGGAGACTGAGGCAACTGAAATATTAATTCTTTCAACAGTGATCTCGCGCTAATTCACTCTGCCAGAAATCATGTATCATTCATCTCTGTCTGGAATAGTCCTGTTTCAGTATTAGGGTTTTGACGTCACATCATCGCCTCGTTTTCAGAGGTCCGAAAAATCGGGGATTTCAATAATTTTTTATAAAACGTAGGGAGCTCACAGCGATAAACGGTTTGCTGTGGTGAGCTAGTTTGGGTGAGTTCTTTTGAATTATGGAATAAAATGTTTTTGTGATATAAGCCCATTGCTTTTGACATGCCTACAATGAATCGAAAGAATTAATCGTAACGTAACTGAAATAACGAAAATAAATATACGGTGACACACTCGTCCACTAAGGAATTTTGAAGACTTTTTATTTATTATTAAAAATCAATTTGTAAAGACACAAATACACACATAAACAAATACCATATAAAATTACAATGTCAATGTCAATATTTATAGTTCTGCCATTGCTCACTTTGGCGCTGCAGTCTTATTTTCAGATGCCTATGATGGGTCTCTGTATTTCGCTACGCAGATTAGCATATCTTGGGCGTTTGAAGGATTTCCAGGTTCTCTTTGGCCTGTTTCCACAATCGTTATCCCAAATGATCAACCATATGCAGAACATTCTTGCCAATAATTTCGTACATTTGCTTGATGATTTGAGGAATTTGCCATAGCTGAATCTCCAACGAATGCAGTCATATGCTGAGGTTTATACCTACTCAATAAGTGAAAATGTAACTACCTAAATTCTTCAAATTGTCATTCGAAATTTTGTTAGGCTATTCATGCAAGAGGTGCAGCAATTCAGAATTGCTGGGGATTCATTGATGGTACTGCCATGCCAATTTGCAGACCATCAATAAACCAAGAAAATTATTATTCTGGTCACAAAAGGTTTCATTGTGTGAAATATCAGTCTGTTATGTACCCAGATGGCATGATTGTCAGTATGAAAGGAGCATACACAGGTAAGAGACATGATGTAGGCATTTTTTGGGAATTCAATTTATATGCCGAACTTGAAGAAGTTGCAGTGTTTCCCAATAATCAACAATTCGTTTTATATGGTGATCATGCCTATCTTATTATGGATTTACTTTTGTGTTCCTTCCCAAATCGACAAGGTATTCCATTGTAACAACAACACTTCAATGAATCAATGAGTGCAGTCAGAGTAGCAGTTGAATGAGGAAAAGTTGTGAGTTAGTTTGCTTTTGTGCACTTTAAAAAAAACAAAAGTTGCTATTGCAAGATCTTGAAAGTATGTACAAAGTTGTAATCATTTTGAACAATTGCCACACGACTTTATATGGCAGTCGAACAAGTCAATTCTTTCAGCTTGTACCACCACTGCTTGAGGAATACTTAGGAAATTGATAAAGATAAATGTTTTCCTTAAGTCCATATCGAAGTAAGTACTCTTGTCCAATTTCTTATTATTACGATGTTAAGAATAAATTCACATGGGTATTTGAAAATGCATATACAGTGTGTCCAAGATAAGAATGTCTATAATGATGGGGTCTAAATGATGATGATTTCTCCAAAACGAAATGTCATAAGGAAAATCTCTGAATGCTGTTTTGTAGACCGTGAAAAATGGCTATGAGAAAGTGACTTGTTTTCTATATATCTTTGAATAACATCAGAGAAAAATGAAAACGATCCCTATGATAAACATACACTGAGAGAAAACTTGAGTTATCATAATTGGAAATCTGATAACCGTTATTACGATATCTGCAATAAATAGGAGACAGATGTGTTCATTTGCTACCATAGATGAAGTGAATTTTCAGGTGACTTGTAGTTATGGCAGCTTATTCAATTTGCAATCTTGTATAAAAACACCGCTGCTGAATAACTACTACTTGTTCTAGTTTCTATTATAACACAGAATGTCGAATAGGAATTATTCCCATAAAATGTTGCAGTTACTCTCCACTCTATACAGTGGTTATTAGACTATCGACATAAAACAGCATGTATTTATTACTGGCACAACCATCTTGAGGTAACGCAGTAATACGTCTCATTTCATTATAGTTATCTGATATCTGCATGAAACCTGACATTTTGACATGCTATTGTAATATAGCTCATTTTCAACATTTATCCCAATATTTGTCTACTCTAGTATATTCATCAAACAGAGGTAATAAGGTTATCTAATCAACATTATTCGATGGTATGCATTATGAAACCGTGCTTTGAATTACTGCAATGAAAATGAATATCCTATCCACACTATCACTCTTCATGATCCAAAGTTATTGTTTTCAAAAAAAAACAAAAAAATACGTTCAGTCTCTGAAATGAAATATTTGGGTATCTGTGGAAGTTTTTTGACAT